GGCGATGCACAGGGGCGTGGTGAGCTCGCGCTTGTACTCCAGGGTCCAGAGGCCTGCGGGGAGGGAAGGGGCTGTCAGGTGGGGGGAGGGGAGGACCCGTGGGAGACAGAGATGCAGACAGCAGGGAGAAAGGAAATCCAAAGGAGGACCCGTGGGAGACAGAGATGCAGACAGCAGGGAGAAAGGAAATCCAAAGGAGAGATGAAAAAGGCTGATACTGAGCTCGGCAGGTGGGGTGTGGGGTACTGAGAAGCAACAGGGTTTTGCCAAATTTGGGGGCAACTGGGGAATCGGGTAAGATTCAAGAAGCTGAAAGCTGACCAAGCCGGGTGAACGGTGAGATAATTAAGAGAGGAATTCACATTTTCCAAGCTTGAGGGAAGAAAGTGGGCTGTGGAATTTTCCAGAATCCAGCCCTGTCTCGGTTGAGCCCTGAACTCACCCCTTTATCATTAAGAGGAGACAACAGACAAAACAAACTGACCCACGCATCACCGAGGTTGCTCAAGAAAAGGACTCGGATAAAGTTGAGCTCTCTTGGAAGTGGCTCGGTGTTAGAAGCGCGCTTTGATGTGGTGGGCCACATTCAGCACAATTCTGTTTTGTTTCTTTGCGCTTTTTAGGGGTGTGCGTGTGTGTGGTGTATGGGGTTGCTCTTTCTTGAGGGATGAATGGAGCAGGTGCTATACATTTTACTTCTCTGAAAACTTTGGCACTTTCAAAAAGCCCGTGGAAGGTTGTTAGCGGCCAGGAGCGCTGGTGGAGACGGGGGGAGCAGTCCCTGGTGGGCACACATCAAGGGGCAGGATTTCACATGGCAGGAAGGCCTTCTGATAATGATGGGAGAATCGATACCGTGGCTGTAATGAGCTGCACAGGAGACCCTTTCACAGGCCACCTCCTTTTCGGGACCCATGCTGAGCAGGTTTGAAAGACCATTCATTAATTACCTACTTGCGTGTGGTGCAGAGTCCCTGTCTGCCCCAAGTCCCAAAGGCCCAGCCTGGAGCTTGTTGCTGACTCAGTGGGGACAGTGGGGGCTCGTCATCCCTGGTGTGGCGTGATGGTGGCCAGAGGCGCTGGGGACGTAGGCCCGCGTGGGCTTGGACTGCCCTTCCCAGTACAGACCAGATCTGATCTGGAGGGGGAAGGATGGAGGTAGTTCTTCATGATGGCAATAACCTGCATTCCTTCAGAGGCCAACTCCTGGTTCTTTGATTCTATTCATTTTCCTGGGATATGAAGCCAACCCCCTGCCTTCTCCAGGGCATGTTAAGTTCCAATCCCCACCCCGCCCTCCCCCAGCAGCTCCGTTCACCCACCCTGGATTCCTGAGTCTCCCCGTGGCCTGATGGGAGGAGACCATGGGCGAGCATCTCGCTCAGCCAAAGCGTGGGGCCAGCACCCATCTCCAGGTCCTGGGAGGTGCCGATGAGCTTCTGGGAAGCCTTCAAGAGAACCCGGTTTCTGGGGCAGCTCTCCCTGTCAGAAAGCCTGCAGCAGCTTCCTATGACTCCCACCCTCTGTGCTGGTTCTGCCACCAGGAGGAACATGAATGAAGGCTTCTCTCCATGTGGCACATCTCTCTAAACGCCAGCACCCCCATGCCAGAGCTCCCCTTGGACTGTGAGCTGAATGGGTCCGCATTCCGCTGCAGAGGTGACAGGGGGCCAGCTGCCATGAACCTGCTAGGTGTGCTCGCAATGCTGCCTTACTCATGGCCCCAATCAGGGGGAGCTGGAATTGGCCAAAAGGAAGTTTTCATACAAGAGGGGGCAGAGCATAGGGGGCTACTGTTCTCAAACAGGGCTTAGTCATTTCTGCTGCAGGGAAGTCAGGTGGCTGAGCCGAGAGAGCAGGAAGCCCTGGCCGCGCCTTCCCCCTTTCAAGGCCCGCAGCCAGGCCCGGGCCAGTGCTGATCTTGGGGCAGCCGTTTGCTCGGTGTCAGAGCATGCCCAGTGCTGTAGGCATGCTCTAGCTTCCTGCCTGCAGGTGTGCCCCAGGAAAGCAGCAGAACTTAGGGGTGGAAAGATTAAGGAGGGAAGAAGGAACCAGACTTTGGATCCAGACGAGTGTGTGAAAGATGGGTTAACGTTAATCTCTGTCCGAAGTGGCATCTGAGCGTGCGTGTGTATATCCAGGTCTGGGAAGCATGTGACTTTTACAAAATAAATATGAACTGAGCATTCAAGAAGTTGGCATTCGTGGTCTGGGACAGGTGTTGGAGCTCAGAAGGGCTCAGCTGGGAGGTGGTACAGGCCAGACTAGAAGTGGCATTTGCCCTCCCCACAGCTCTCACCACCTTGCTGGTTGTTACTAACTACTCAGCCCTTTGACAGTGTTTTGGGTTTATTCCCTTCTCCCCGTGTGAGGTATAAACAGGACTGTGTCAGTTCTTTGGAAGCTGACCTTCCGCATTCTTTGCCTGCCAGAGCTCACAAGTCAGGGACATAGGGCACTGGCAGTTGGCCCACTGACCTCACATTCTCAAATCCCCACAGTCTGGCAGAGCTATAGATTCCAACACATGAAACTTCTTGGTAAATATGTTGCGTCTGAACCCATGTTAGGGGGCTGGGGTGTGGGATGTGTGTGTGTGTGTGTGTGTGTGTGTGTGTGCACACCCAATGCTGAGTACCAGCCAAGAAAGCTCAGGATGCAGCCTGGTGGTTGGCAAATGTCTGTACATCCCGGATGGGGGTGAGGGGGACATCTGTCCACTTGGGGGGCTGCCTGCCTGCTCAGCACATAGTGACCATGTCCAGGCAGCAAGAGTACATTCAGATACATACGACACGAGGACCTTTGGTTCTTTTCCCTTTCCTTCCCCATTCTCAGGCTCCCTGACATTCCAGGAGGAGGATCTGCTGAGAGCCCTGTGGTCCTCCCTCTGTTGATGCTGGCTGTGCCCCAGTCACCCCACCGTAGCTGTGGTGTTCACGTATTCATAGAAGGACCTGCACAGAGCTGCGCGCCAGGGCGCAATCAAAGGAGAGACTTTCCTTCTCCAGTTCCTGCCTCCCTGGCTGCCACATGCAGGCACTGGCAGATCAGCACGAGAAACAATGCTCCTGTCTAGAGACGAGGTGGCCAGCAGCATCAGATGGCTATCATTTTGCCTTTCTAATTAGACCTCTCACATCCCATCACCTAAAACCTACATCTTAAAACTGGTGCAGGAATTTCATTGACAGACGTCCTTTCCTCACCTATGTTAAAACACGGTGCCCACATGCCCAGTCTGCACACAGGAGCCAAACATTCTGAGAGAGTGTTAGTAGCTCCTTAAAAAATAAATAACTGTGCCGTAAAGGAGCAGGGGTACCTGACAGTCCGAACGTAGCTGGGGATTTCACCTGCCATTCCATCTCGTCCTTATCGATCTCAAACACCACATTAGCATCCTGGAAGAACTGGTCCATGAGGGGCTTAAGATGCTCCAGGTCTCCCGTGACCAAGGCAGCATGGTACTCAAGCACTGGGGATCCTGCCGTCGCTTGAGGCACTTTTTCCATCTTCTGAAAGATTTGCAGTTTTCCTCTGACTGTCTCTGGCCGTTTCTCCATTGCAAAGTAGTTGATTTCAGAAAAGTTCTTCAGGAAAGGGAAAGATGGTCCTATGGAGTGTGAGCTATTTCTATTGTCATTACTCAATTGTCATCCAGTTGGGGCCCAATGGTGGTGTATTTATAACTCCTGTAGGCTCCAATATGATAATGGTCACTTGATATGACCAGGGTCATGTGACCACTGAGATGCCACGGTGCTCAGCCTTGTGATGATCGAGATGCTAACCCCAGGGACAGACACATCTGTCTGTCTGCACAGTGGCTCTCCACACATCCAGGGCAGACACCCAGCACACACGCTTCCTTGTGAAACCTTCTCTTTTATCTGCCTAAACAGCAAAACCGATGATTCCCCGGCCTTAAGCAGCATTGAATTTACCTGTGTAGGTTAAGTGATCAGCTTGTAAATACGATTTCAGTGACCAAGATGCTTAGCAGATACGTGATATCCTCTCAGGTTTAAAAAATTGTACTGTATTTAGAATTTGGAAATGAAAGTCTTGAACTCAAGAGAAAGAAACAAATATTCATGAAGCATCGGTTGCTTTTTATATATGATTATATCTATTCTTAATAACAACCACAGGAGAGAAATAGCGTGGCTGGGGCTGCTCGGCTGGTCAGTGGCTGAGCTGGGACTGGAGCCCATGTGTATGTGCCTCCAGATCCATTTTCTGACCCCCACGCCACTCTGCCTGGGTTCCAGATGCATCAGGAAGGACCTGCTCAGAACTGGGCCAACACTGGCAGGACCCACTTTTCAGAGAGGACTCTTTGGTGCCCAGAATTTACTCTCCCCGAGGGAAGGTGGTGCCAGTTGAGCAGGACCTACTCTTTGTATGTTAGTGCTGAAAAGGGCGTGAACTGTCACCAGCTGGCACCTTCCATGCCCAGTTTCTGTGTGGCTTGGAAGCTAAGAATGGCTTCTATGTTTATAAATTGTTGAAAAAAATCAAAAGAAGATTATTTTGTGATGTGAAAATTATACGAATTCGAAAAAGCCCACAAGTTTATGCGAATGCCACCATGCTCATGAATTTACGCGTCATCTACTGCTGATGATTTTGAACTTAGAACAGCAGAGTTCAGTAGCCACAGCAGTGACGACATAACAGTCGCCACCCACTTGCTGGCAGCCTTAGACCTGTGGACCCATGGGACCCGTCCTTAGTGGTGTGCAATCAGACCAACAACAGCACAGAAGCAACAGGGAAAAGATTTGAAGTCAAGGAATAGAGTTCATTGGGACAGTACCTCCTGGGTCACAATTGAGCTTCTTAAGTACCCTCTTATCTGATGTCCTCCTCTCTTAGTCTCCTCTGCACACAAAGCTGTCCGGTGACTCCCCCTCCTCTCCCTAAGCTCCCCCAGAGCTATGGGCTTCCAGCCTGAGCAGGCTCTGTGTCGGCACTTTATTGCGACAGTAACTGGGCCTCTGGGCTGCCTGCACTGAGACTTTCTACAACAAAGGGGAGCCCAGCAAAG